TTCAATTTATAGATGTTTTGTATGAATTTGTAGGCTACTTTAAATAAATTTGAACTGCTTAACACGTGTTAGATTAACTTACATAACCTGCACATCACATTCGTTTTGTATATGTACAGGGTGGGGCAGGGAAGTATCCCTAATTTTGAAGGTGCATTTAAAGACAACCAATAATGTTATAACCACTCTTTTTATTGAGATTAAAAGGTCACGTCTGGGAGTTTATTTTAATATAACTTAACTTAATTTTAAACAGCATACCGGTATCCTGCAAGTGGTGTCCCTAATCTTAAATGCATTGCTGTATTTTGGTTCTGGAGCTCATAATAACTTTGTGAAGCATTTGTTGTGGAGTGCGGCAAAATTCAAGGTGAATTGCATCCTTCAATGCATCTAGGGTCTTCCCTTTAACTACCCTAGGCTTAGCATCACTCCAATAGAGCACATTATGCTTATTTACCGCTCCAGAAATATGGAAGTGTGCCTCGTCACTAAACAAAACCCGAGCAGCATGAGGTAGTCCCGCAATTAAGATTTCACATGCCTGCATTCGTTGTTGCCAGTCCCGTTGTGTGAGTTCATGAGCAACTACCCTCTTGTATAGATGGAGGTGTAAGTCCTCATGGAGTATACGAGGCACAGTATGACTAGAAAACGCCAGCACGGATGCATGCTTACAAGCAGAACTTTGAGGAGACTGCTAAATCGATCTTCTGACAAGCTCAATGTTTTCAGGACCTCGGACGGTTCTTTGAGCTCCAAATATCCTTCACAATACACCACCAAATACACGAAAGTAATTCACCCACACCAAATTGTAACAACTTTGCGACAGGCCACCCGATAACAAGTTTGCAGCCAACGGTAGCTGCACAGCAACAATAGACAGATTTTTGAAAAAATACATCTCGAGTGCAAAAGCACATTGGTCACTCGAACAAGCCATATCTACTACTGATAGTGATATTTTTAGAAATTCCCAAAACAATAGCTTTATTTGAGCCTAACCCCATTCCTCCAGCACACCCCCACTACTCACAGTACCATCTTAAAAGTAGGGATATTTCCCTGCCCCACCCTGTATATTTAGGTAAATTTAGTTATCATGTTTTGCTAAACCTATGCTTAAATTAAACTAAAGAATATCATCAATAACTAAATTGTAAGTCGTCGTTGATTTTTGTGTTCTAAAATCTGTTGTTTATGTGTAACTATATTTAATAATCAAATGGTAATACAAAATACTCTTCTTTTATCCTAACACAACTTTCAGTTCACAATTACTATATTTGATAAATTTATTATTTGTGTTTTGCCACACCACTGATTACATTAAACCAAGGAAAATATCATAAAACTAAGCAGTACATAATGTTCTTTTGTTTCTAAAACCAATTAAATATCTGTTACTATGTTTGCTTAATGGTACCGGTAAGTGTGAAAATGTAAAGGCAATGAACGATAGAACTGATTGAGATGCAATGAAACATTTACTGTAATTACTAAATTAGGTAAATTTTTTAGTCCTTGATGCTTTGATAATTATATTAGTTTTGTCTGCTGTCTTTAATGCTAAATTATTTGTTTGAAATTTTTTATAGTATAGATATAGTTTCTTTAACATTTCAAAAGACTATTGATGAGGCACAACAATATTTCTAAAGTTTATTTTAACAGCTGACTTAGTTTTGCTAATGATTTATTGTGAGTGAAAAAACTGAAGATGGAAGGAATTGTGATTTAATATGAAGAAGAGTGAAATTGAAAAAAATGTTCATTTAAATGTAATAATTAGTTTTTTTGCAACTTTAAAATTGAAATTTAAAATGTCAAAAAATAAAGAAAAAAGATATGTAACTAAGGGAGATGAAGGTAAATCAGGTATTTGAAGTTGTATTCAATGATTTGGTAAGTTTTTTCTCATATCAGCCTACACAAGATTTAAAATTAATCAAAATCAAAATGGTGGTATCAAGGCTCCCCTAGAAAAACTAGTGGGGCCTTGGGTGGTATCCACTACTTACCAGATTTAAAAGTCATAACTTAAACATTTCTATTAAGGCCATAAAAGTTGAATTTTGTTTCTAAAGCATTGGTCGATGTGTAAATATTATATGCAGCAGATGTAAAGATTAAAATGTTTCTATTTTGTGTCCTCTTCCCGTTGAAAAGCACAGGTACAACAGCTAGTATACTATAACTCGACTTTGGCTCGCTGGGGGCTCCGCCCCCAGGCCCCCTTTTTTGGTTGGGGGTAAATAGAAAAGGGCCATGGCACAAGACCTGCAATTGAGCCAAATTTCAGATCTTTAGCTAATCTAGAAGTGGGTAAAATTGATTTAGACCGATGCATCTGTAGGAATAACATTTGGGGGGGATTCTAATTTTCGTGGGGGGGGAGTTATATTTGTAAAATGTCACTTTTAGAAAAGGGCGCAAGATCAACAATCATGCCAAATTTCAGATATCCAGTTAATCTAGAAATGTGTAAACGTGATTTAGACTTATGCACCTCTAAGAATAACATTGGGGGGATTTAATATTTGGGGGGGGGGGTTGTAAATACGATAGGGGGATAAAACCTTAAGTAAACCAGAGTAAATCTATAGCATGAACGGACCATGGGAACGGGGACTTATGGTGGTTTTTATGGGGTAAATGTTTTCTCCATAAGAATAACATGGGGCTCGTAAAAACTTTCAAATGTTGACATTAAACCTAAGTTTTGGGGGTTAAGGAGTAAAGTTACGAAAAAACACGTATCGTGTAAAATTTAAACTAAAGTAAGGAGAATACAAAGCAATAATAATATTTGCAAAAAGGAATGATTTAAGTATGAAAAAATAGCGAAAACCGGTAAAAAGTTGAAATAAATTTACCAAATTTTGAAAGTAGGGAGTTTTTTGAACCCGAAAGAGTGCGATTTTCGGGAGGCAATTTCACACGGGATAATCATATTCCCTGGTGGAGTTGGAGACCAATAAGTTATAGTCCTGTAAATATTGAATGTCGCATCACTGGAACAGAGACTAACATGTTATTTTGCACATTTCCTATTCAATATTACTGTATTAGCAAACTATAATAAGTCAAACCAGAAGTAAGTAGGATATTGAATATTAACTGTCCGTGCGAGAATAATGTGTGTCGATACATTTACTTTAAAAAAAAAGTTACTCCCTAATACGTGCTTAATACACTATGAATTATTATAAAAGTAAAGTCCAATCGTACTTGTTTCTTATTTTAATGAAACCCTCATCTATTTTTGCATTTAAGTGTAAGAATGGTCGTAATATAAACATCTATAATGAGAATCAAAAGATAAACTCAGCGAAAAAGTTAAAAAAAAACTACAACAGTTGATGCATCTTCTATATTTAAAATGTGATTATATAAAGCCCTTTAATTGAGATTCGTGCCTTTAGGAGAGGGTTTATCATAAACCTGATATTTTAAGAGGAAATTCACATCAAGACCATTTATTCCAGTATGTGGTTGATAGGTACTGTAGTAAGGTAGAAGGCTTAAGTCTAATGACTTGTGTAGAAGGTTAAAGGAACAAAAATATTGATAAGTTCGGAAACTCCCAGGATTACCTCCCAGCATAGAAGACTAATGTATTACCACAGTACCTACCAGCCCGGCAAAATGAATTTCTCTTGCCGGATAAAAAAGTAGTATATTTTAGTAGCGAGTTATAAGAAATTACCCTTATTAATTCAAATATTTGGATTCATTTTCAATGAGCAATACAATGAAGTGAATAATTACTAACTTTGAAACTTTGTAACTATGAACCATAAAATGTGCATAAAAACCCAAATGATAGTTTTTAAAGGTCTTCAATTCTAGAAAAGGTTTTAATTCATCATGTTGAACTTTTATAGTTTTATTTGGCCGAGTAAAGATTACTGTTTAATTTTTTTGCTTACTTTACTACGTTAATTAGTAAAATATAGCAAGTATTGTAATTCTATCTTAACTTTTCAAATAATCGTCGAAACTATCATCCTAACTCGAACTCGTTATCTAATTAAATGAATAATGAATTTATTTCCTCAAAATCAACCAATTATAAAAACAGCAATTCGGAAATTAACTGACCACTTTGTCCAGTATATGTGGTCAGTGTAAACAAAAACTTATCTTGTAATCACTTAACCTCATAACTTCCTTAATCGGCACACTTTGTGTTAATATATATAATTCACAAAAATCTAAATTAGTCTAGTTGATTTTTTAGTCTGGACTGTTTGTAAAACATCCTACGATCAAGGACTACTGATTTTTCTAAGCATCGAGTCGATGATTTCCACAACACCACTCAGCTACCCAGGTAAAATACACTAACAACTCATTTCCCTCTAGACCAGCGGCAAATACACAACGACACTAAGCAACTTAAAGGAAATACATTTCAACTGCCCAAGTCATTTAACAAGTTTATAAAATATTCATTGGGTTTTTTTACTGCAGCCATTACTCCCACCCTTACAAGGTCCAGACTGTGATTCAGGTCATTTGTCGAGTATGAATGAGACTAGAGTAGACTTCCCTGTGCAAACCTTGCCCTGGATACAGACCTGTGACCTTGCAGAATCTTCTGAGGTATAGCTATTGCAGAATGACTCATGTTCATTGTGTTTGAAAATATTTGGTCCAATAATGTCTGGTGTTTTAACTTTATTGCTTCGAAAATAATATTGTGTAAAAGCATTGACTGTTAGATTCTGTAGTAGTCGAAAGTCATTTCAACATAAATTTGTCTGAAAAAAATTAACTGAAAAATACAGATCACAAACCATACTTTTTTGATAAACAGACAATTAAGTTCGAGGAAGGGGTATACTTATTGTGGCATCTCGAAATCTTTCGAAGCCTTCATAGGTTTACAATTTCTTCAATCACATGGACTAATCAAATGCTGAAACTAGTAAAAATAACTTACCGCCATATTTCTTTAGGGGCTAGTTCAACAGGATATGAATGAAACGGCATTTTATAAACACAGTTTATTAAAAACAATATAAATCAATAACAACCAGTCTAACTCTCATATAGAGTCGTAATCAATAAATACTGTATCACAACGGTCATCGTACAACTAAACCTACTCGAACATTCAGCACGGTAGAATATCACAAGGTAGTCTCGTCTAACGTCCATCAACCCTAGTATCTGTGCACACCTCTAGCCTAATGTTGCTCGATCAATACTAGTTAAATACTGATATTGCTTAGGAGTACGGCAAGGGAGGTTGAATCCCGGAGGAATTTGAACAGGTTAGTGAAACGAATAAAAGAAACGAAAATACAGTTTCTGGCCAGGTTTGGCAGTAGTTCTCGTTAAACGTTTGTTCCACTGAACTATTCGATTGTCACTTCTCTTGCCGGTCTCCTGAACGAAGTGCGATAGAGAGTTTCAACTCTCTCTTGCAATCTCACGACTTGCTAGCCTCCGCTTCCTTCTGACTCTTCTTCTCACCTCTGAACCTCGCTTCTATCTCCAACAGTGTCTTCCCCTGGGTCTCTGGTAGGAAGAGGACGACGTAGAAGATTGCCAAGAGTGAAATACCGGCGAAGGTGAACATCATCCCGTGCACTCCCAACACTCTTAAACACTGTGGGTAGACCTTGACTATAACGAAGATGAAGAAGTAAGCCAGCGAAGACACGACTCCACTCATGATACCTCGGAATGCCGTGGGGAACAACTCTCCTATCATGACCCACGGAAGTTGCAGCATTCCCAACATAGAGGCACACACATTGGCGACAATACAAGCTTGTGGAAGCCAAGGTAGTGGGCGAGAAGCGACCTCGAATCTCCCGTAGAGAAACTCGTAGCTTCCAGCGACTCCCATTGATAACGCCATCCCTGCTCCAGAAACACAAGCCATTGTCCTTCGATTGAATTTCTTGATGGCTACAGTTCCCACGACGCTCATCACCAACCTCACAGAAGCTACGATGATACACAACACGTATTTATTCATCGTGCTTCCACTCTCCTGGAAGAAGTTGACCGCGTAGTAAAGCATTATGTAGAGTCCGCTTCCCTCTTGAAACGCGAAGAAGGTGATCAAGATCAAGAAAGGTTTCCAAACTGATGGCGACAAGAATTGCCCCCACTGGTTGCCTCTTCCTTCGTTTTCTGCGTTCTTTTCTCTCAGAGATTCAGAAAGGTCCGCCAACTCTTGGGCCGCTTGGTCGTTGTCACCGCGGAACCACACGATTGCTTGGCGCGCTTTCTTCTCCTTGCTGTGCGCCAAAAGCCACGACGGTGACTCTGGGATGAGCGACATCACAAAGGCACTGATGCCCGCGAACACGGCGCACACGGCAGACGCTACTTGCCAGCTGAACATGTAGCCGAAGCTGTACACGAGCAACACCCCCAGTGATACGAAGATGGGACCGAAGGCGGAGAGGAAGCCTCGGTGTTCAGGTAGGCTAATCTCTGCGACGTATACGTAGCAGGCGGCACCCATACCTGCAATGAGTGGAATCAAGCATAAGTCAACATAAATATCTATTAAGCATTAGTAACTAAGTGAGGAAAATGAATCTGGGTAGTGGGTAGTGGGTGGGTGACAAGGGTAGTAAAACTGGGTAGTGAGCAAATCTATAAATTGATCTGGGTAGTGAGAATAGTGATACTTTTAGCGGTCGCCTTCGAATCACGAGAGGGATTAGTTGTAGGCTGTTTACCAATGAATTTAAAAACAGATTGACGTCAGATATTGACATGACATGGAATTGATGGTTCCCATAAATATATTTTAAATGACATAAACGTTGACCAGTTATAGAAGGAGAACACCCTGGTTTAGTAAACCTTTATATTATAGGAACATTTTCCATTTTTGGACTGCTACAAAAAAAAAAACAATTCAATCAAGCAAATTGAAATATATTTTATAAAGATGTATCTACAAACATTCAATTCATCGGAATTAACTTAGCCTATAATCTAAAGAACAACAAGGCAACACACTAGTTGTGTTTAGCACTTGGTAACCAATAAACAAAAAAATATTATATTAGTTTAGAGTTAGTACTCGTATATTAATTGTTTACCTTTTTAAGGTATTAAATGATGAAAAACATTGTAAAACATTTATTTTTCTTATTCGTGAACCCATTATAATAGGTGTTCCATAAACGTTTGGTACATGGGCTTTTTTGTAAAAATGTAATTCTTCGTTGCCTTTTTGTTCATTTCCCTTGTTGTTAGTTCAATAACATTCATTCCAAGTAAATTTCTTACCATAATTGTATATGTTTTGTTAGTATAACTGCTCAAATACTACTACAATGGTTATTCATCAAAACGAATTAAGAAGTAGACACTGTAGATAGCTTATCAGTGTAACTAGTCAAAACCAAAACAGCTTCAGCTGACGTCGAACTCAAAACACAAAACCTTGCACTTGAGATAGCAAATCAGCAGAAAAAGGTTCACGATACCATAGATGACCCTTACGTTGCGTAAATCGACTTTGTGTCAGGTCTAAGTCAAAGGGGTCATTTTTCAATGTATTAGACGCAGTACTAAAATATCAGCAATATCACAACTTCTCTGAGAGCTCCAGTTTAACATAACCTATTATTACAAATGCCAAAACTTAATTTTCCCTAATATAAGAACTTTAGATTTCACGAACTTGTCAATAACAATCAAACTATGATGGTAAGTACTGAACTTAAATAATTAATCTGTGCAGAAATAATATAAAAGGTATTAAGATAAGCGTTTTCGTATTTTAGAAAACTGCTTTAGTAAATTTTTACTTAGCCAATCGGTAACATTTTAAATATTTAGTCCCCGTCACCTAGGACTCAGATTGTCGAACTACATTAAATTACCAATCTGGCCTCTTTAAATACCCAATTTCATCCACCATTGTGGTTACTTTATTACAATGAACACTAACGAGACCGGGTTATCTTTACGAGCTAAAGTTTATGTTTGGCATGATTTATCAACTAAAATTACCCTATGATGTCATCACTTCTGTTTGTTCTGCTATAGCTGCTGATACAGATGTTAAACATTGGCATAGCCTTCTCAAAATTTGATTTGCATTGGAAATACGAAACGAATAAAAAGAAACAAAGCAATATGTTTTATACATACGAGGTTTATGACTTCTTCAGCTATTCTCCAAAGATATTTAAAGTTGAAAAAATCCTTCGGTACAATTTACTTGCGTTGACGCATCTTCAAATAAAATTTCAAAAAGCTATGCTCTTCAGGGTCAACTGATAATATAAATTTAAATTAAGTTTGGTGAATCCACAGGAAAAGAGATCAAAGGGCAATTATTAACTATGTTGATACCAGTCATTCATTATTCAACCGTCTATAAGAATCAATTACTTGACGGATCTTCTGTTCCTTCCAATTGCTAACTAAAGTGAGTTGATATAATAAAGGCCCGAAATATCCCACAAGCCATGACTTCAGGACAAGTCGAAGCTTGAAGAGAAGTGAGGATGACTGCATCCTCCAAACATACTGATTGACCAACTGATGTTAGAATGTTACGATAAATGCTACGTTTAAGCTGATTCACTAAGCACTCCTACCTATGGCCACTCCAGTTATGGCTCGACCAATGCAGAGGAAGAAGAGGTTATTGCAGCAAGCAATGATGAGCCATCCGAGAAGAAAAGGAATGGAAACTAGCTGTACAGCCCTCTTGCGACCCAGCCATTCCATCAGCAGACCAGACAAGATGGCTCCCAGGGGGTTGCTGATGACTCCCAGACTAGCTGCAACACAAGACATCAGATAATTTAGATGATGATGAACCATAGTAAGAGGATGGACACTAGCTGTATAGCCCTCTTTCGACCCAGCCATTCCATCAGCAGACCAGACAAGGTGGCTCCCAGGGTTTGCTTATGACCCCCAGACTAGCTGCAACTCAAGACATCAGATAATGAAGGAGATTGTTACCTATTATCTTAGTCATCGAGATGGAACGCAACCATTTTGACCCAAATTTCAGTGATGAATGAGGTATGATGGTAGCTCCATGATGATGGGCTTTCTTGATTACTTAAATCAGCTGTTTTTAGCCATTTGCTACTGAGTAGGTGAAGGAGATGTACATGAACAGGCAATGAGAAATTATTTTGAAATCTCTCAAACGTCGGTTAGAATATACACAAAGAGGTTTGCTAACTGATTTGTACTTCACGATTGAACTTTTACTGCTATTTTAAAAAAATTAATGGATTTGTTCCTACATAAGGAGATCGTTTTATTAAATGATCTATCGAAATGTCACCGGTTCTATTCTGAGACAACAGACGCCTTTTGATAGTTGTACACTGGGTCCAGCTGACCTTCATCATTGAGCCTTTAGTAGCTAAATAGTTATTTAGTCAGCTACAAAGCTACAGTTCACAGTAGCTCATTTAAGTCCATCTTACTCTCACCATATTCAATTTAAAATACGCTACCTGTGAGTATATAGCCTTAAACGTAACTATATATTTAATATAGATAACGTTTAACAAAGGTTTACATACATATAGTGATTGTTTATAAGGAAATATGACTCTTTGGAAGGTACATTTTAATAAGCGTATACAAATACCTCCTGTCTAAATACCATGCTTTTTACTTTATACATTTTATACTTTTAATATTATTGAAATGGTGATCATAAGAATGTAGGTATTTTAAGCCAAGTATTATACATAAATATGAAGATAAATGTGATTTTGGTTAGAAATCGATCAAATACAAGTAAAATTCCATGAATATTTCGAATGAGTTTGTATTTTTGTGACAGTTTAGTATAATCTGATAGAGGTTTGTATCATGATATTACTTTGTCCATGTTTCTATGCTGTCCATTGTCTTAGGAATGTCATAATATAATTTATTCTCTGCTATACACTTCTGTAGTTATGACTAGTTCTCAGTTGTCAATTGCCTCGCGGAAGTCCTCACTGACGAGACGACCCACACTAGACTCATCTGATGATTCGTCCATTCAGCATTCACCGTTCGACCTTACACATTACATTCTCCGTTGAGTTTTGGCGTGTTCGTGATCCATTGCGTCCTTGGCCTCGGCAATGGATATACGTGATACTATTCCGCAACGGAAGGGTGAAATCATTGTTGTGAAATATGATTCACGTTCCCGACATTATTAATATACGGTAATATGATTGATGTGGGCGGAGCTCGAAGTTAATGTAGAAATTGCAGTGTGTAGGTTTATGAAACGTAACGTTTATGTATTTAACTTTAAACATTAGTTTGAAACAGTAAGCCACAGGTATTTTACATAATAACAAGATTTTTTTGAATGTATTACTAATACATAAAACCTTTAAATGCTATTTTTGTGACCTCCATTTACATTTAATCTAAGTGATTGACCATAGAAAATCTACACCTATAACCAGAGGGGATTGCCACATTAAAGCGTTAAAGAGATTTATTGTGTTTCGCCTAATGATAAAGGTGCTGATGTAAAAAAAAATTAAACGTATTCTCACTTTATTGATATGTATATCGAACTAGAAATCCAATTTATGTCGATCGCCCTAAAGTTAATTTTGTGTGAGCTAGGATTTGTGGGTTAACGTTTCCCTAAAAGAGTGCCAATTGCCCTACAGGTTTCGAGAGCTAGCGCTAGGCTGTATCTACATGGTCATCACTGCAGTACCGTACATTATTTTGTCCACTATTTTTCCCGTATAGGCTGTATAGTAAGTGATTAATCAATACCCTTGTCGATATAAGTGGCTTACCTATCCAAGAAGCCTCCTCGGTATCCACATGTAGCGGACTGGATGGATCCTGTAGTTGAGGAAGAAGAATGGCAGAATAACCTTGGCACATCCCTACGGACACCGAGTTGATATGGGTCGCCACCGTAGCTGCTAACTGGAATAAAACATTATGACTCATTAGTCTATTGTAAACAAATATTTGGAGTAGAAAACCTCGTTCATGCAACTCTTTGTTTGTATTGTCTGATTGTGTTTAAATCATTTCAGCAATGATTTTAGTTCGGAATTTTGCAATGGTACTTTTAGAGGTGCCGGAACCAGTAGTATTTTCACGAATCTATTGCGTTTTTTAATAACATTTGTTAGTTGATAATGCAGTAATAATTACGAGGATCACAGAGCCATTGCGATTTGACTTATCGATATTTGATTAATATTTGAATTTCGTCTGCAATTGTCAAATCTCGATTGGGATTTGACAAGTGCAGACGAAATTCAACTAAACCCTACGTCAAATTAGTTGCAGTCAAGAACTAGGGTAACATTAGTGGATGTTGTCGACTGTACTTCTTGTATACTGTGTTATGACATATAGGAAGGAACGATCTCAACAACTTCAGTAGAATATAGAGAATGTGTTCTTCTCTTGAAAGGAATTGTAAATTATTATAAAACGGTAAGCGTGACTTGGGGTTACTAAAGGATTACTTATTTTCACTTATCGTGTTTCACGTATGCGATATACATTCGCAAAACATTAATAATTAACCACATTCTAGTAAAACTCCAACACCAGAAACCCCGCAACCTTCCATTACAATTATATTTTCTGAAAGGTGTCAAGGAATTAATGTATGTATTGAAGCTTGAACCTTGAAATAATTAGTTGTCACGAAGTGTGATTGACATTAGAAGCATTATATAAACAAATTTAGTTTTTACTCACAGCTTTGCCGATTCCAAGATCTTTGAAATTTGACCACTTCTGGCCAAAGTTGTCGATCATGGTTCTGCCCGTAGCCTGGAAAAAGAAAAATCACTTCAGCATTGACTTTGGACATCGAGAAGTAGCGCTAGGCACCACAATCAACAAGGGCTGGACTGGATTATATTGGAATTAAATCTTGGAAATGAATGTCTCTCTCTCTCTCTCTCTCTCTCTTTTTTTCTCTCTCTTATTTGGGAGTACATTAAGTACTCATTATGTAACTGTAATGGGGGAACAAGCATCAGTATTCAAATTATTTTTTTTTTTACTCCTTTTTAGGTTAACAAGTAAGAAGATATACGCAATCTACATACACTGGACGGAAACATGTGTTTGAGTTTGTCTTTAACTGACATACACTATTTTTAATCTAAGACTCTGGTTAAAAATGTTACATCTCAATAAAATATAAAGTCATTAACGCAATTATTGTTTCCAAATTTAAGATAACAATACTCTCTTAAAAGATCTTACAATTTTAAAAAATCCTTATCCTTTGCTATGATTTGAAAATTTTACCAGGCAGTTAAATAATGCGAATAGTAATACAAATTATTTGGCATAGAATAGAATAACAGTAACACATCCTCGTAATTATTTTCAATAATATGAATACACATTTAAAAAATTTTATACGAACTAGGTTACTAAGGTTTGGTAATTCTGCTAAAAGATTAAACTGAAACCAAAATTGAAAAAAAATTTAGGGATCATTAAAAAAATGAAGCCGGTTGGTGCAGCCGCAACGACGCCGGCGGCTCTTATCGGTCAGCCGGCGAACTAACACACGGACACACAGCCACATACAGTAGGTAGGTCACCAGGGACTGGCCTTGATGGGGTCACTGACTGTACAGTTTTGTAATCATCAACTTGAGCAGATATCAGACACTGACCACATCACCACTTCACCACTTGACTACTTGGTTCTATGGGTTTTCAAACATTCAGTATACTTAGTAGGTTAGAACACATGGTGTATGTAACAAATTAAAATTTGTTAAGTGTATATTTATAGTTCTACTAGTGTACATGTTGCTCGAAAAGGAGCAATTGCAAAGAAGTAAAGTAGTTACAGTATTTAAAAACAAATAACTTATTTTAAAAACGAATAAAAGTCATAATTCCCGATGAGTTTAAAAGACTCACGTCTTAGATTACGTACCTAACAGTTCCATACAATCAACATTTCTTGTAAATATTTTATCATATTTCAAAAGCTGAAGTGTATTCTACAAATCGTTCCCACTTATAGCCGCATTTGGTTGTTCATGTCAATTATAATGTAGTCTGCATAGTACCGTGGCACCTGACGGATTAGGACACCTCATGGAAACCCTTATCCTAATCCCTCAGGTGCCACGGCTGTTTGAACGCACTATCAATAGATAGAACGCACTGTCGCCAGTACGTTTACAAATTTCAGTCATTTTTTATAGCGATAACATTTTGTTTACATTACTTAAGAGCTGCCTGATTTTCTGTATATCACAATTTTATTTGCTTCAATTGGCATTAATTTGGCTAGTTACTGTTATAACGTAAGTTATCTGAAAAAATGCAGATCAAATTATTGTTTATTTCGCAATTTAATTTACTAAATAAAAATATAAGCATATGGCAAATCAAAAAACTTAGAGTGTGTATATTTGCCGAAAAGTATTGGTGTGGACGAATTTCCTAGGGGCTTTGTCCCACATGTTGATTTCCAAAGGGCTACGCCTCACATGCTTTCAGAGTTTAAATTATTGAATTAATTGCATTAAACAGCTGGTTGATGCAATTAAGAAGAGGAAGAGTGTTTGTTTATTACGGGAATTTTGATGGTGCTTTATTTACGTTGTGGTCATAAGTGAGCTATTTAGGAAGAGGGTTATGTATGTTTAGTTACATAAAGGAATAAAGTAGTATAAAGTGTTGTTGAATATTGCTGACAGTTTTGTTTGAAATTCGCATTAGCAAATAAGTTAAACTACCCAGGTATTGACCAGGTATTGAAAGGATTGACCCAGGATTGACTAAAATTGACCAAACACCTTTTTCATGAAGCATCAATAGCAAGTAAATGATTTTTCTGCTGCACTATGGTAAGTTGTTAGATTCCCTTTGATCTATTGACGTCAAATATAAATAGAAGTTTTAAAGTAAGTAGGTCTTCATTTATAAATAAGTTCTGGGTTTATCTTCTTTAAACAAGTTGTTTTTATTTATAAGAACAGCATTATTCTCTTTCGCGTTATCTTCCCGTTTCGAAGCACGGTTTTGACAGCTCGTATAGTATAATTTTGACTCAGAATTTAATTTATAGGTAAAAATTGAATGCAATTTATACGAGATAATCCTATGAATGCAAATAATAATCTGGAGGACAGGATATAATAATTATTGAGGTAAGCTTTCAATGCCGTATACATTTTGAACGGCCCTAGTCTCTTAACAAATACAATAAAAATTGTACTGTTTAAAAGAAAGGTCAAATCAAATTAAATAACATTTACTTCTTGGAATTAACGGGAATTCTACTTAACTAGTTAACTAGTGAGTCTTATTACTAAGTCATAAAATGGAAACAGCTCCATAACGTTTATATAACTAAGGAACACCTTAAAGGTCCAAGCTTATTACAGAATAATAACTTTTAAACTATCTGTTAAGCACCTTATCAGTAATTGCACTAACGTCAATATAACCTTAACGGGAGACTACTAGTGCTAAATAACTGATCATAAAGTTGAACATTGTCTTAACTTTTACAATCGGCGAAGGAGTTATGACCGGGTTTGTATGGGACGTGCCTTTCAGTTTTGGCCTGGATTTTTAGAATGGCTTTACGCAAGATTGGTCACTTAGATAGTCCTGTGATCGTTACATATATATGTGCCTACCACTTGCTTGATCTCTCTTCAACAACTGGGAGTTAACAATGAATTAGATATAGGCCTAGAAGTAGTTTCAAAATACATATTCTATTGATTAAAAAAAAACTGAGATTTGTTGTATTATGTTGGATTAGCATGTGGCTTTTGGTGAAGGGAGTCCTCTATTGAGGAAATATCCCTGCCTTGAATAATGTACAGTAATACAAATTTAGATTTATGTTTTATTTTATTTATTTTTTTTTAGACGAAACCCATCAGTTAATGTAAACACAGCATAGACGAAGTAATAAATACTAGTATGAGACTGGATAAGATGTAGCTTGAAACTTATGTGAGTCAAAATATTCTAAGTAGTTTAAACTTTTAACTGACTTTATGGCTTTAAACTAAGACATTAGATGGTTGAATATTTTGTTAATAACAAAGAGAAATCTTTCTATATTGAATAAAAAAAAACAGAAATAGCCTTCAACTATATTTTCACAAAATTAAAGGTCATTATATATATATATTAAAATAAAAATCAAAAACATCTTTAACAAAGTACCCTTTTAAGGCCATATAATAAAACTATTTGTCGTCAGCTTTCTATGTAAAATTAAAAAAAATCACAAGTTTGATTTTACTGTGGGAGAAGCAACATTTTAAATCAAACAAACAATTGCAGAAAGATTGTTTTAATTATTGTCATCAGTCTGGTAAATTTCCTTACAACGGCGAATGTTCAAGCGCTATAACTTTTATTATTAAACCGTTATGTAATCTAACTTTTTGGAAAACTGTATGTTTTGCAGGCTGAAGAGGACATGGTCCTAGTACAGCCTCAGTCCAGTGGCGTTTCGGCTCCCTGGGCTGAAACATCACGAAACTAACTAACTACTATAAACAACTCTAATATGGTAATATTGTATAGTTAAGTTGCCCACAAGCTTAGTAAAAAGCTTTAATCGTCATTCTAAAACTTAAGAATTCCTTTTTTCTACATATAACTCCAATACACTCCTTGTATAATCCTGTATAATAACTCATAAAACATATTCACTTGTGACTAGGCACATCTAAACACTAGCAGCTATATAAACGCAACGTGTCGCTCATCGTGTGTACATGCCGTCATCAAGGCTACGTTTAGAGGTTAGGAAAGGAGAATGACCGAAGACGTATACAAACCGGGTAGGAATCTTCAAAATCACACGTCGCATCAATGAAACGACCTTCCATCATTCCATAGTTCTCAAAAGAAAATCTATTTTTAACATACTGTAAAACTCTTCTGTCGATGTTTAAATAAACGTTACAAGTCAATGGAATGTGATATCGATGGGAAATCCTCTAAACGAAAGAAATGTGTTTCTAATTTAAAATTCATAAAAGAAGATTCGTCATACCGGTTTAAAACTGTGCTTTTTAATGAAACTAAAGCCCGTTAGGCGCTATTTAAATTTTGATTTAAACATGGACTTGAGTGGGATTTATCCAACAAAGAAGGTCCTCCATGCCTGAAAATTCTATTTTTGTTTTGTTTTCCAGATAGGTCAACCAACAGCTTTAAAGGGTTCCGAACCTCTGGGCCATTAGTATTTTATAACTAGGCCTATTAGTGATTGGTGAGAATTAAACCCACGCCTAGGGGACTGCCCCCACCCCTCCCCCATGCTTATCCTTACCACTAGACGACTGAACCTTCCGCACTCATGTAATTAAAAAAAAATTATATAATGCAGTAAATTAAACTAACGAGCTGTGTTTGCTACAGCTAAATTTAACTTTCCCTACTTATATACTTGTTGTTTCATCAGATTCAAACCCAAATGATTAGACCTAATCCAGGGATGGTTATAGACTTAAGCTGTAAAACAAAAACTAACAGGATATTTCATAATACATCTTTACTATAAACTAGCTGTGTACCCGTTCTACGCACGGGGATCTTATAATATTCAGTTGAAACCTTCTTATATAACGAACAGCAGTTGGTTTGCATATTTTAAGATATGCTGGCCAAACTATTATACATAGCTTTATTTTATGTTGTTTTTTGTTGTTCCGGATCGGTATGACAATCAATAAAAGGTTAAATTACCTCTGTGTCTGCCGGTCGATCCTATAACGGTAGGCTTACTTTTATTTTTACTATCTGATCTCGTTTGCATG